TCCTCTATTCTATATTCGATTCAATTCTAGATTTTATTCGATTCTATTCTACATTCTCCTCTATTCTATATTCGATTCAATTCTAGATTTTATTCGATTCTATTCTACATTCTCCTCTATTCCATATCCGATTCTATATTCGATTCAATTCTAGATTTTATTCTATTCTATTCTATATTCACCTCTATATTCTATTCTCCTCTCTTCTATATTCTGTTCTATACTTTATTCTATTCTATTCTATATTCTCCTCTATATTCTATTCTCCTCTATTCTATACTCTATTCTATATTTGATTCTATTCTATACTATATTCTCCTCTATATTCTATTCTCCTCTCTTCTATATTCTATTCTATACTTTATTTTATTCTATTCTATATTCTCCTCTATATTCTATTCTCCTCTATTCTATACTCTATTCTATATTTGATTCTATTCTATACTATATTCTCCTCTATATTCTATTCTCCTCTATTCTATATTCTATTCTAGAACTAGGAGGGTTGCTGTTTTGCAAGTTCCTCTTGCTGCCACCAGGGGGCGCGCTGTCCTGTGCCTCTGCCCCATTTAAGGGTTTACTTCCTGCTCGGCACAAAAAAAACCAGGAAAACGTTTTGGTTGGGGCTGGATCAGGCCTTCCGATCTGGCATAACAAGCCTCCTAATTACCACAACCGGCAGCTTGTCCATTTCATCAGTTTCAGCTAAATTGTGCTCGAAACTACTCCACCCAATAGGGCTGAGTCTCCTCTCCCAGTGCAAAACGGCTTGCACAGCGCTGCCTCAATCCCAGGAGCAGCCGAGGACGTGCTGTGCAAGATGGGCTTGGGAACCCTGGCCTCCTTGCCACAGAAGAGGGAAGCGGGGGTTTGGGGAGAGGCCTTTGCCAGGACGGAGGCTTCCAGAAGAACAAGGAGCCAAAGCAGCTAAAAAAAAAACTCCACCGGGGTTGGCTTGTGTTGAAAGCAGCCGGTGCTGAAATTACAGAGGGGCAGCCGAGTGCTCGCCCCCGAATCAGTCCACGCACCCCGCGAGAAAAGCAGCCAGCGATGGCCAGAGAGCCGCTTCATGGTGAAGCCAAAGGCTTCGTCTCCGTTCCTACGTTGGGAAGACTGAAGAGAACTTGGCAGAAGAGGCTCATCCCCCCCACCCACCCCCCTGGGCAGTGCTTGTAGAACATGCTCAACCACTAAACTAAGGTTTACCCCAATTCGATTTCAGGATTCATAGTGCCCAAGCAGGTGCCATGGCTGGATTTGCTCAAAAACTGTGCTTGGCAAGTCTTTGACCAAAGGCCCCACGTGGACTCAGAGGACCCGAGAATCGCAAGGGGTCCAGGAGTGCCCCACCCAAGGCGGCCAGGGGCATCCCAGGCGCTGGGTACCCCGTGCGATGCCTTGCTTGGTGGGCGCAAGGGGCCTGCGGGACGGTGCTTCGAATGGAAGCCACATTTCAGGAAGAAGGGAAACAGCCGAGCCGCCAGCCGAGGTCAGAATTAGGACGACTGAAAAAGGGCGAAACTTTGTTGTGAGTGATTAAAACCAAAGGGTCTCCTAGCCAGGCGTTTAACACACCAGCCTTCTCGGCAAGGGGCACCACGAGGCCCCTTTTTCTGGGGGGGAGAGAAGCAGAGACCACCTGGAGTGCGGCACAGTAGCAAAAAAAGGAATCCAAAGAGGCCCTTCGACACACACACACACCCTCCTCAAAAGGGTCCTTCTGCTTACCGGACGTAGAGGGATCTCTTCTCGCTTGTCCGAAGTGAACCGGAGCCCGAACTCATGCTGCTGTTCATCATCTGCTCTCGGAGGTCATGGATCTTGGACTCAAAGCGGCTGTACTCTGCAAGCACAAAGGAGGGAGGGTTGGGGGCCATCCAGCCCAGCAGGGTCTCTGCGTTTCACACAAGGGAGCAGCCAGCCGAAGCCATCACCTGTGCGCTATATCCGAGCACTGTTTACTTGGCAGGTCCTGAGCCAGATTCTCTGCATACCTGACTACAGGTGTTGGCCTTTGAGAAAGTCACAGCTCAAATGGGGCATGACAAATAGGCTAAAAAGGCAACTCAGAGGGCCCTGTCAGATGGTATTCCATATTCTGCGTTTAGAGTGTCGTCACGGCTGAGATCACTCCCTCGCAAAAATGCTCCTGGGGAAGGAGACAGGAAGAGGCAGCTTATTAAAGCTCTTCCCTTCAAAGGTGAGACCGAACAGGTAGGCTGACATCAAGAGGGAAACCTAAGAGGCACCAACACAGGAGGAGCACTTTACACACCAGGGGAAGGACAGAGAGGACAGACAATCGCAGAATTCACCTGTTGTGGCCGGCCAACGGAGCTGGCAGCAGAGTCGGGCAGTGAAGAGGTTGGGGAGGAACCTGGGCCAGTCCTGGAGTCTGGGGAGGGCTCTGTGTCAGAGGCAGAGAGGGGGCCAGGACCGTATGCCAGTTATCAGCTGCCTTCAGAGTCAGACAGCAGTGAGGCAGAACAGCTGGAGCCTGTTCCCAGTGTGCGCATGCATAGAGTTGCCAGACGAAGGGAACAGCTAAAAAAATGGGTCAACTAGGGAGTAAGGCCACAGGTGGACGATGAATGGCCCCTCCCAGAGGAAATAAAAGAGGAGCAAAAGGGGAGTGGA